CTGGGCTTTGGCGTCAACTTCCACATTTCTCTGCTCCCACCAGTCCAGTTGGGAGAAGGGTAGGTGCTTGTCCAGATGTCCCTTGATGTGGCGCAGAAGGACTTCAAGGGGAAGGGTGCAAAGCAGGTAGAGGCAAGGTCAAACTGAGCGCCAGAAGAGGACAGGTGGGCTTTGGCAAAGGCATTATCCAAGGCAACAAGGCCGTCGCAGGGCATCTCAACGGAGGGATGACTGTTAGAAGTAAGCGATCCACAATCTACCTGTTCAATTGACAGCAGTTTAGTTGTTGCCTTCTAAGTATATGAATTTACAGTATATAGAAGTATATAGATCTATTAGAGACCCTATTCACTCGTTGCTTGTGTTATATCATAAAAACTGAGAACAATCTGTCAACTTTTGACTTTGACTCTTTCTTCTCCAGCTCAGTGGAAATTCTCAGAATTCTCTCTACGTCAGCCTGATGTGCTGCAAGTTCAACTTGTTTATCCATTCACCTTCCACTGTAGCCGGTACTTTGATTAGTATCCAACTTTGGGTCCTACTTGGATCTTGCTTTCTTACATCATCAATAGGATTTCCATAGAAATATGATCCTTTTTCTGACTCGCCACGCGCAATATATTTCTAGTTGTATCAGTCCACATCTTTTCTCTATTGTTCACATTTATTCTCTTTTTCTCGTTTCTCCAAATATGTACTTTGAAAATCATAATATATCCAACAGTGACTGGCAAAGAGTTTCAGTTGGGCAATCTGAGCCATCCACTTGAGCACCATGAGGGAGGGCAGAAGGCCGATGAGTTTGCTACGGGTGGAGCTCTGATCATCAAAGCTGCCAGGGGTTTGGCAAGTGATCCAGATGATGTTGGTCCGTTCGGTGGTGAGAATCTGTGCGCAGGCTGTGCCCACTTTAGCTTTGTAAGAGCCGTCACTCACGACACAAAGAATACCGGCAAGGAGAGGCTGGACCAGAGACAACCTTTGCTGCCATCAATAGTGATGGACTCAGGGACCCAGCCATGAGGGCCGGACAAGGCCATGTCACTGGATTGATGCTATAGCTCAATGACAGAAGAGGGAGGGGATGTTGCCTCCTGAGGTTGGTGGGTGTTGGGATATGAGTTTTTTTACGTTCCAAGAAAACTATTCAAGCACAAAGATTTGAAAGGCACAATCGGACTTTGATTGTGATGTCAGAATTCGATCCAGTAGGGAATAATACAAGATGTCCCAAAGTACTGAATCCAACACAGAATCCTCGTAGAAGTCAAATTGAGTTCCGTAAAGAATGGGTTTTCCAAGGGAAAATCGTTGAACTCACTTTTGTGATTGAATCACCAATTCAAGCCAAATGTTAATCAAATAGGAACAATTTCACTCAAAGTATACCTAGACACAGGAGAACTATTGTTGTGAAAGTGGTGTACAGTCGATTACAAATTTAGATTGCAGAGAGTTTGATCTGAGCTCTAAAGGCACTCACGATAGAGCACATTTTGCTTTATTCTAACATTCAATCACAAAAGGCAACAAAACAAAAATACATCAAGAACAGCACTGCCTAATCTGCAAAGGAGTGAGTGATTTGTTGACGATGGGGCGTTCTTCATCTGGTGGTGGAAGAGGACGTGTGACTCCTCAGAAAGTCAAGAGCAATCCAAGTTCAACAGTTGTGAAACATCTATTTTCAACGAAAGATGAAAAAGATGGAAAGGCAAGATCGTTGTACGAAGATGCGAAAGAAAGAGTGATCGACTACATCCAAGCTTCGGGAATGAAGTGCTCGGAAGACATGGTGAAATCGATTTGCAATGGGAAGTCGATTGACTTCAATGCAATTGCTCCAAGATTGAACGCTCCAACTCAAACTGAAGCTGTTGCAAGAGAAACAGAGATGGCCCAAAACAAGATTCTCTATTCTGCAAAGCTTGACAAGAACATGCAACGATCAGCCTACTTCAAGACAAACAAGAGAACCGTCAAATCAAACATCATGCTGAAGTTTGTGACAAAGGCAATGGATATCAAGCTTCAAGGTGAAGCCAATTTCACGACTACTCTTGAAGATCCAATCAAACTCTTGAAAGGTATTGAACAATTCATGAAGAAGAGTGCTGATGCTGAGTATGACTTCTTGGATTTCTGGGAAGCCAACCAAAAGTGCTTTGCGATGAAGCAAGGAACAAACAAAAACTTGATGCATTTCAAGGAACAATTCTTGAGACATGCTGAAGTCCTGCAAGATCTACATGGTGTTGCCTGGTTCTGAAATTTTGCGGTCAAGACAAAATCGTATGCTGCTATTGCTTGCACCGATACTGCTGATCAAGAAAAGTTCAAAGATGCCGTTCTTGCAACAGGATTTCTGTGCAACTGCGATCAAACAAGAACAGCTCCTCTGATGCTGGATCTTCAGACGAACTATTGCAGGGAAGTGGAATACTATCCAAAGACGGTCAGCAAAGCACAAGATATGTTGAAGATTCACATGGATGTGATTAAAAATCCGGGATTGAACCTGTACCAAGAAAAATACCAACCTAATGAAGGTAAAGGTACAGGGAAAATAAACCAAAGGATGGAAAGAAGAAGGCAGCATGTTATGTATGTGGCAACGAAGACCATTTGTCTCCAAAATGCCCAGACAGACTGCTACCAAAGATTCAATGGAAGCATCCTGATGAATATGTTGACTATGGGAAGAAGCTCAATCTGAATCAGATTGGAGCAACTCTCCCAGCTACTGTTCCAGCTATAGTTCCTGGAGCTTCTGCATCCACAAGTGGAGCATCGAGCGTTGCGGGAAGCGTTAACACACCTTTGCGGCTTGCTGGTACTACAGGTAATCAGATGATGCAAGTTCCTTTGGGAATGCAGCTCATGCAGATTCCAACTCAAGGTGGCGGCACTTTGACTGTCCCTTACTCAATGAATGCTAATGGTGAAATTGCGTTCAGTGGAATGCAACTTGGCCATCAAGGCTTCAGTGTTGCTCAAGTGCGCCAAGGATTTGATGCAACTCAAGCTTGAACTCCGCAGGTCGTGAAGACTGGCTATTACGATACGTCAAATGTCTTCCACAATGCTATCAAGGGAAAGGATGAGAATGGCAATGATGTCTATCTTATTCCATGTCCTGCTGGTACGACAAATGTCGAACTTCAAGCCGACTGGCACTATGCTGGTGAAGATGAAGATTTGCCTGATCTTCCCACTGAGGCAGATCGAGGTCTGCAGTTTATTCAAAGCTGCAGAAGAGAAAGAGACCCATTTGGATTGTACAATCATGTCATCATGGACAGTGGTTGTACCAACACCACCATTTGTAATGGTGAGCTCATGCATGGACTCCGTCATGCTGAGAAGGAGCTCGATTTGCACACCAACGTGGGCAGCAGAGTTCTCGACGAAGAAGGTTTTCCGCCTCCAGTCTATTATGATGAAGATGGAATTGCCAATGTACTTGCTATGCGCAAGATGATTGCTGCGGGATACCGCATTACTATGGATATTGATGCTGACAATGCCTTTATTGTGCATTGTGATGGAGACAGAAAGATGCAATTTGTGAATTGTAAGGGTGTGTATGTGTTGGAGCAACTTGGAGCAGCTGCCAAAGAGACAAGTGCAATGTACCGTCGCCAGTTAAGCAACTTAAATAATCAACCAAATTTCGAACTTTCTTCAAACAAACAGAATGGATATGCTGGACTCAGGATGACCTCTAAGATGGCAACTGTTTGAAAGAACAAGGAAGGATTCACTCCAAGACAAGTTAAGGCTGCGATGGAAGCAACAAGTGCGATTTACATACTCAATGCTCCAAGCACCAAAAGTCTGAAGTATGCGATCCAATCTGGTCTCATCAAGAACTGTCCTATCACTGGAGAAGCGATCAATCATGCCAAAGCAATCTTTGTGTCAAATATAAGGTATTACAAAATCGAACCGCTGCGCCTACCAGGCTACCTTAATCTGACTAGTCCAATTCTAAGTATCTAATACACGTTCCAACATCCTCCCTTATTTGATACTTAGATATAGCCCTTCAGCCTCGCACAACCATTTCTGGTGTCGAAACCCCCACACGTCCATCTTTATCCTGTCGATGCAGACAGTCGGCATTCATTTCTAAAATCAACAAGGGAAATGTGAATCGAGGACTCGATCCCATAACCTTACCATGTCAAATATAAGGTATTACGGAATCGAACCGCTGCGCCTACCAGGCTACCTTAATCTGACTAGTCCAATTCTAAGTATCTAATACACGTTCCAACATCTTTGGACCTGAGGCATCTACATTAAAAGGCAAGTCAACAAGACCAACTCCAAAGAAGACGTATGACGACTTCTTCAGTCCACCAGAGGAATTGTATCAACACAATCGATCTATTACCGTCTGTATTGATCACATGGAGATCGAGAATGGTAAATTTCTCACCTGCATTGATAGCACTGTGCGTTATTGCTCATGTATTCACATGCAGAACCTGAAGACTGACCCTGTATTTGAAGCACTGGATAAGATATTCCGCCGCTACAACAAGGCAGGCGTTCAAGTCAAGACAATCAAGTGTGCTTGGGCATTCATTCCTCTAACGGATGATATGCTAGAGGGTATGGGTGTTACTATTGACCCGGCTGCAGCTGGGGACCACAAGCCTACCGCTGAGCGAAACAATAGGACGCTGAAAGAAAGAGTCAGAGTAGCTCTTGCACGTTTACCCTACAGAGTGGTCCCAAAGGTGATCACTGAATGTCTTGGACGTCAAGCCGCCGAGCTATTGAATGTCTTTCCCTAGAAAGACAGTATCTCATTACATTTCAGTCTGCAGCAACTCATTGATAATGTCAATATCAACTACATGAGTGACATGGTTGCTGAACTTGGACAATATGTTCATGCAATTGGGACGGATTCCAACAATTTGATGGAACCGCAAAGTATCGAAGCGATTTACATTGAACCTACAAAGGGACAATGTACTGGGCACCGAGTGCTCAACCTCAATACTAAGAAGATGATTTCCCAACCCAAGGTTGTCGTATTACCTGTTACCGACCAAGTAATCCAGTGTGTTGAAGCTTGGGCTGCTGCCAAAGGTGTTACTTCCATGCAGGAGTGGATGACACCAAACAAGTTTACTTGGAAGAAGCCTTGGATCAGGACTATGAACCTGAAGATGAAGATGAATGTGATTTCAATCTACATGGACAATTTGATGATATCAATGAATGTAAAATATGTCGTGTAGCGATAGACTTACTAGGAGGATGATAAAAGTAAAGGAAAATTGATAGACATTCGTAAAAGGAAATCTAGAAAGTTGTGATGATGTGTGTGGTCCATCACCAATTCTGTACGTTACTGCGTACACTATGCGTGCATATCTAATAGCACGGTGACCTTTATTTGGTCCCCTCAAGCTAAGGATCAATGTGATCCATAGGTTGCTCAATATACCCAAGAACCAAAAAGGTTTTCTCTCCTCATCTGTGTTAATCACTTTGTAAATGCATCTGCAATATTGATTGCACCATCAATCCATGAAACTGCAATCACCCAAGCTGCCACATTCCAACGTGCATAATGATAAGCAATTGAATTGTGCTTTTTGTTCAACGTAGATTCTACCAGTGACAAGTTTTTAACAACTGCTTCATTGTCCACTAACGCCTGTGTTGGTTCCTCATCCAGTGGGATCCCAAACATACGCAACTTGTAGCGTAATTGCGTAATTGCTTCAATACATGATTTCAGAGCAATGAATTCAGCCCCAAAAGTGCTGGCCTCCACTGTATTCTGCCTCCGGCTGTGCCAAACAATAGGCGCCCTATTCAAGAAGATGGCATAGCCGGTATGCAATCTACGAGTCTTCTTGTTTGCTGCATGCAAGGCATCAACGTATGCCAAGCTTCCCACTTGCCTACCTCTTGGTTTTGGCATGTTCGATGGCAATTGTTCCTCAGCATCTCTGTATAGAGTACGGAACTCTTTGTACGATGACTTGACTCCGGAAAAATCTGCGTTTGGGATTCTCCAATCAAAGTATAGAGTCATCTTTGGGTGTTGATCCAAGTAGGCAAAAATCCGCAACAATTGTTCCATGTGTCCTTCCCCTGGCCCTGCCTGGTATTGACTCAAAAGAGAAACTTCCAGTAGAATATCAACGCGCCCAATCTCCGTGGCCCACCTTAAGACCCCAATCAATTCTTGAAAGTATGTGTGGTCATGTGCGTTTAACTCACTTGAACCATCTAGCTCTGGTGTATAATCGCTATTCATTGGAGTGACGGCTTTCTTTGGTAAGTTCCACCTCTGATTGTCTTTCAGGGTTGCTTTGACGTTCTTCACAGCAGCTGTAACATAGTCATAACTGGACATAGTCCACATGTGCTGACCGTCTAAAACCTTTCTTTTGACACCCGCTCCAAGGTAGCTTTCAGGCTGTTCAATCTTGTCCTTCTTGAACTTGAATTTGTAGCTTATCTGTTCCATAACATCTTTAGCGTTTTCAGACATGCACAAGATGTCATCAACATAACACAAAATATACAAGATTGCACTGACTTAATCAGCCCGGATATTGATTTGCGCGAGAAGGCAGGAATACTCAAAACCCTCAGAAGAGGTTTGACTAGCCACACAATTAACTTTCTTTATAGTGGGAATAGTCATATCCAGTACCTATGCTGTCCTCATGATCACCCATTTCATCCAATTAGCATGCAGCAACGCCCAAAATTCCATCATGTGATTCACCAAGAACTAAAGTTTCCAAACTGAGTATTTGTTTTGACTTTGTTCTTTTTCATCTTACTAGCAGATGGTGCTGATGGAATAATGACATCAATGTCTGCTGAAACATCTGTTGATTGAATCATTGTTTGAGACAAGTATTTCCCAATCGTTGCAGTGCTATTTCTGCTCTCAATACTTCCGCCAGGTCTATCCAAAGGCAAAGCAGTCTTGCCCAATGACCTCGCTTGCTTTTGGCGCTCTGCTTCCGTTCTTCCTTCTCTTAATCCTTGCAAGCGTGCAAACTCCTTGTCCTCCGCCTCCTTGGCAGGGTCTACCAGAACCTCTGTTGCTAGAATCTTGATTGGATCAACAGGTCTGTCCTTCTTGTCCGTTGCAGCCTTCTCCATTTCTTTCAAGACTTTTTCGCCGTCTACAACTTGGCCAAAGACAGAATGCTTTCGGTCCAAATGCGGTGTTGCTTTGAAAGTAATCTTTTGGAAAATAAAGGAGCGTTTTGGATGAATGAATAACAAGAATCGACTGAGCATCATCAAATTTTTGAATCCTTTCTTTTCATCACATCATTGCACTTACAAAAAACTGGCGCTTATTGGTATTGGGACCACCGTTAGCACTACTTAAGACTCCCCTTTGATCATGTTTCAAACGGTCGTCAAATTCATCAGCAAAAGTCCCACCCCAAAGACTCATGTCGTCCTTATTTCCTTCCCCAGAGAGTCTTTGTCCTCCCTGGATCATGAAAGAAGAAATAGACCGGTGGAAAGCAGTCCCGTCGTATTTTTTGGCTTGGCATAAACCCAAAAAGTTGGTACACGTCCTATATGCGTTGGAGTCAAAGCAGCACCCCCCAAGCAACATTGTGAGCCTTATGCAAACAAGTATGCAAACAAATGATACGACACATACATAGAATCCAAGTACAGGATTCACTAACCTTGGGGCAATATCACAATGCAATTCCAATAATAGATCCCCCATGCTCGTAATCATGCGCACGTATCCCTTTTCCTTCTGCGCTCGCATCACTTGAAACTGAGCCTGCAAGACCTCTTCTTGCGTTGCTTCCCGTGTAGTATTTTCATTTCGAACATCCATAGCGGTACTTGTAAAGGATCCAGAAGCCTTCCCAGACGTGTATTGCACATTGGTGACATCGTCGGAGTAGATTTTGAGTTTTTTCAATGGCTGATCGCTGCCACAATTATGTTCCGTGTCGTTGGACGTCGATCCAGGAGTCGGTCGCTTCTTTTTATCTTGTTTGAGCTTTTCCATGATGCGGGTTGCTGTGACAGAGTGATGTACGTTCAATTGTTGCTTTTTTTGATCCAGCGATCGAGAGTTCTGTATGTGCCAAAATCCTCGAATATCACGCTGCTTCTGAAAGTCCTCGTTTTGTGGATCATTGAGAATTAGGACATCCCTTTTTGGAGAGAACTTCTTCCCCGTCGTCAAGTCAAACCAATTTTTTGCCTTGACATTTAGTTCCTTGTAGGCTTCAAAGGAATATACATAGGCCTCGACGTTATTGTTCTTGCTGCTGGTTCGGTCAACGATTGCGACAATTTTAGTATGATCGGCAAAGGGTTTCGTCAAAACTGGACACTGCCATCGATTCTCGTCGTCCTTATCCATACGAAGGGAAACGACATCCCGAGTTGTCAGCGGTTCTCCAGTGACAGGATCCTTCTTGTGTTTCATCACGAATTCCATCAGAGCGACACTATCAAATAAGATTCCTTGGGCATTGCAGACTGGTTGAGTGTATGGGACGAGTGTTAGCGCGCAACACTGAAATGGGAGTATACGCTGAACAACACCGCCAGTCAATCCAGATCCAGATCGCAACTGAGCATTTTGCCTATGTTCTCGCCCAGATTGATATTGCTTTTCCTTCTGTCGCTTTACCATTGCGTCGTATAATAAACTGAATGAGAAAGCGAGGTTTGATTTGAAAACTAATTACATATTGCTCTTCTCAATATTAGTATTAGTACAATAGATTAAATTCCTTATTATTGTTGCATCGTTTAAAATACTGCGTACAATTTCAAATTTACTGTTTTATAAAATCGCAGGACGACCGCACATTCAATTTGCGGATCATCTCTGGCCGTACCATCCTGTAGAGTTAGGTACAGTACTAGACGGATCATTCACTTCACCCACTCAAAGCTGTAGCGTGTACAGCCTTGATTACTTGAGAATGCAGGTACAAGGTTGTCCAGGCTTGTTGTGCTTCAAGTACTGAAATAGTTGTAAATGTCCGAAAGATGTGTGATAAAACAGTATTCTGAAAATTATAGTGATTTTGTGTTGTGAAGGATGCAAACAGGATGAAACTCCGACCATCTCAACGCATGCAATGGCGATGCTTAGTCTTAACAACGTTGAGAATGTGGCGAAGCTTAGCAAGGGAAGATGGTAATCAAGATTGGTAATCTTGATACCTGTATAAGATACTTTGGATACGTTAGCCGTTGGGGTGCAGACGTTCAACAACGGCTATTATCTGATGGACAAACAGACGACGTTCGACTCTCCCTCTCATCCGGAATTCAACACAAAACGTCATCACTGAAATTTGCGAAACAAATAGATCTGAAAGATGTTGCATCTCACTGGTGAGCAGGCGAGTTCAACAATCGGAGTTGTCTACGTCTCTCTGCTCGATGCAAATGTACAAGGGTTAGGGTGGTTGTGCAAAGGTGTTACCACCCTTGCACTCGAAAGCGATTGCTCTCGAAAGGTTCACAAGACTGTGCCTTTGTGAAGTAATCAGCATCTTGGAGCGATGTGTCGAGCTCGTGGATGGCAACAGTTTCTGGGCCAACACCGTCCTTGGTGACATGTTGCCAGAACCAGTGCCACTTGTTGAGATACCAGCGGGTGCGAGATGTGATTCTTTGATTGGTGGCCAGAAAATATGCTCCTTGGTTGTCTTCAAATGCTGAGGCCCGAATGGTGGCGCGGATGCCGTTGTCAAGTTCAACATGGTCGGTGGCTTCAATGAGAAGACGCTTCAATGGAATTAAGGTCTTTAGAGCAGAAGAGAGAGCATTGTATTCGGCCTCGAGCGTGGAGCAAGTGATGGATGTTTGAAGCTGGGAGCGCCAAACCAGCGGGCAATTGCTCAATTTTACAATAAACCCGGTGCGTGATCGAACGGAGTTTGGATCAGTGTGAGGTTCGGTGTTGTAGAGTCCACAGAAGTCAGCATCGACAAACAAATCAAGGTTCAGTTTTCCTGTAGGCTTGATGATCATGCCTTTTGTGCGAGTGCGTTTCAGGTAACGAAGAATTGTTTTCACGGCGGTTGCATGGGATTGCTTTGGATCAGAGGAGAATCGTGCCACTTGGCTGACAGCAAAGGTAATGTCTGGTCGTGTGTTTGTCGAGAGGTACATTAACATTCCGACAATTGATCGATAGTTCCATTCTTCGTTCATAGGTTCACCATCAGGATCTTTGCCAAGGGGACCAGTAGCAGGGATTCGATTGGGATTGCAATCGGTCATTCCGGCTGCTTCCAAAACTTTGTCAATCAAACCAGTCTGGGTAAGTTCGACTGAACCATCTTTGCGTTTGTCAAATTTTATACCAAGAAACTCATTGAAATCGCCTTCTTTCTTCAGTTCAAATTTGAGTTCTCTGAGTTCCTCAATGAGCTTGTCGATGTCTGCTGGATCTTTGGCACCGATTCCAGCGTCATCAACATACAGAACCACCATCATGCCTTTCTTGTACAAAAGACACGGATCAAAATCAGATTGTTTGAATCCACACTTGGTGAATCCTTCCACGGCGGTCTTATTCCATAGTGCGGGGGCAGCTTTGGTCCCATATAGTGACTTGTTGAGTTGAAGGCATGTTCCTTTGCCCTTTGGAGAGACGAATCCTCGAGGTAAGTGTACCCATTTTGGTTTGTCCAGTTTGGATTGTACGAATGCATTGCTGAAGTCAACCGAGACGGTGGCCCATCCAAGGATCAAGCAAAGGACAAGAAACAGACGGACAGTACTCCATGCAACGGTAGGTGCAAACGTGTTTTCGTCAACATCCATTTCTTCCAGGTCTCCTCTCACACAGTATCTTGCCTTGAATTTGGTCATTTCTCCGCTTGGATTTCTCTTGACACGAAAGACCCAAGTTCCAGGAATGATCTTGGTCTTCGCTTTCGACATTGGGACTTCAATCCAGGTGAGTTTTCCTTCAAGTTCTTCAATTTCCTTCTTTGCTGCTGCAGTCCACTTTTCGCTGTTGGGACCGTTGACCGCTTCATTGTAAGTGAAAACGTCTGGGTCCTTGGTCGCTCTCGCTTTGTACGAGCTTGGAATGAAGCTGCAGTCATGGGAGTGTTCCAGGTCAATGTTCGAATGGTTGAAGTATGCTGAAAAGTAAGTGTAGAAGTTGTTGGTTTCTGGACTTTGCGATTTTAGAGGTGCGTTGTATCCTGCGGGTCCATGTCCATCGTATCCAAAGCGTTTTGGAGGTTGAGCTTTGTTGGATCGGCGAGATGTGCGTGTGGCTGATGGCAGGGGTGCAGGTTTGGAAGTTGGTGTGGGTGGCGGTTTGTGAGCCGGTGGAGGCGTTGGCTGCGGCGGAGATGAGGGCTTTGGCGGATTTGTAGGAGTAGGGGTCACATTCTCCCTCTGAGAAGGAGGCGGCTGGACGGAAGGAACAGCTGGCGGATTCTCGATGACTGTCTCCCTCTGGATTGGAGGTATGGGGGCTCCAGAGGAATCGGCTTGGGGCTTGGTTGGTGGCGGAACAACATCCAATGGAGTGGGCGGGTTGTGAACTTCTGTTTGTTCTCGGACTCTTTCAATTAACGGTGGAGGAGGATCGTCGGTGGGATCAGGTGGATGCAATGGGTCCTCGGGATCATCCAGAACATATTGGTAGACGGAGTCTCCAAAGAGTTTGGACCAGGCGTCCGAACCAAAATCAGGTAGGTCGTCAACATTTGTTGCCACAGTCGAGAAGGTAGGATCGAATACAATATGAAATTGCGTGGTGATGGCTCCTGTGTCGGGATTCAAACAAAGTGGAACTGACGATGCATGTCTCTTGCTCATTCCAACGTAGATCTGGCGGGTGGATCGAGGCTTCCACCGAGGAAGTTTCTTTCCATCTTGCATCTGTTTGTCCAAGACATACACTGGGCATCCCCAAACTTGAACATCGGCAAGTTGTGATTGTTTCCAACGGGTTTTGGTAAGCAGATCGTGTGGTGAGAGACCAGATGATTGGTTGGGCATGTGGTTGTAGAGGAAGACGGCTTGATCCACTGCGAGGGGCCAGAGTGTGGTGGTTGCGACATCAGGCCAATGGATGGCCTGATGCATCATCATGGTTCGAGCGATGGACATGATGGTTTGTATTGATCGTTCGGCAATTCCATTGTGATGATGAGCTCCGACGCCAGCAAATGAGTGGATTTGTGAGAACTTGAGTAAGTGATCATTGTATTCTTGCGATGTGAAGGGCCTTCCATTGTCACTTAGATATTCGAGTACAACTACTCCAAAATCTCGAAGTTGTTCTTCCACAGATATCTTTGCACTCAGCGTCTCTTGGGTGTTCAGATGAACTTGGTGCTCGACGAAGACGTAACCTGTTGCATGGTCAACGAAGATGCATCCTCCAGTGTACTGTGTCTTGGGATCTTCTTTGCCAAAGGTATGCAGCAATCGTCCTCTTGTGGTACACTCAAAATGATCAACTGACACCTTTTGTCCTGGGAACAGGTTTTCTTTCTTCAAAGCTCCCTCTCGATCACGAACGACTCGAGAAGTCTTTCCAGGAGACGGTCGACGACGTTGTTTTCCAAATTGACAAGCTGGGCATAGTGGGTATGTTGTGATCCGAGATGCTGCAGCTTGCAATCGTCGAGCGGACTCTGAATGTGCCAATACACCTGTGCGGAGGAGAAATTGGATCTGACTGAAGTTGAGATGGCCTAGCCGATGGTGCCATCTTAGGAGTTCTTTCTCGGCGGGACTGAGGTTGTGGTTTGACTCCAAGGTGGACGTGATGATGCTGGCGAATGCGTCGAATCGGTTAGGGGCAGTTCCATGGGAGTAGGCAAGAGATGTTGGCAAGTTCGTTGAAGGGTCGTGGTCAACGTGTACCGAATTTGTTTTGTCTGATCCAGACAACTGTAGATGATCAGCGTTCATTGAGATGGACTCATCGGTGTATGTCTGGAGCAAACTTGAGGTACTGAGCAATCGAGCTGTGGCAGAAGGTACGTATAGGGCAGGCACCTTGATTGTTCGTAACATGCCAGTTGTATCAACCACTGACCATGCAACATGTCCAATCCCTTTGATTTCCAGGCCGCTAGCGATTCCACGAAGCTTGAGTCCAAGAGGTGCTGGCTCAAGCTTTCCCACAAAATCGTCCTTGTAAGGTGAGATCGAAGTTGTTGCACCGGAATCCCAGATTATCGGGTATCTTGTCGTCTTTTCATCACCTGACATATCTGATCTCAATTCATCTGGATTCATTGCAGCACGGAAGCAGTTGATGACCTTGCTGAATCGTTGTGGAATATCGGCGTTCTTGAAGAAGGCTTTGGCCGCGGGAGACGATAGAACGGCAACGTGAGCCATTGGGAGTCCGACGCCAACGGTAGGTCTGTAGATTCGTGGCATGCTTGGTTGACGTCGACGTGTCATCCTTCGTCTGCGCATTCGATCCGTTCTCGGAAAGGTATTGAAGTGGCGGAAGATGTCGTCACTTGGTGTCGAAGAAGGGTCATGGCGATCGGAACAATGTCTGGAGGAGTCGTGGCGACAGGAGCGAGGTCTGGGAGGATCAAAACGGAAGGCATCATCTTCACTTCGCTGGCGGGGACCTTGGTAGAAGGTCCAGTTTGGATCGCCAGGACGCCGACGCTGATGGTCATCACGGGGTGTTTCGCGGGAAGTGGTAGCATGAGGGGTACTAGGTTCGTTGTCGTTCATGTTTCTCCAACCGTCGTTTGTTCTCTGCCAATTGCTTTGATCATTGTGATTTCTCTGATGTCTTCTGTTGCTTCTCCAATTATCTCCCTCTCGACGGGAACGACGAAACGTGAGAGACTCCGAAAACTGAATGATATGTTGGACCAAGTCGAAGATATCTTGAGATCGTGGGTCGAGGCGACGGCGGGTGGCGAGACCATAATGACGGGTGTGACGGCGATGACTGAAGGAAGTGGGACGGCGCTGACGGCGACAATGTCGAATGTAACGTTTGTACTTGGCTTTGGTCATCCGGAACGGGCGAAATTCTTGAGGCGGGGACCCAATGAGTCGATGTTGCACTTTGGTAGGAAGGGACACGAGGATCAGAAGGGTGAACCACAGGAGCGGAGCAAGGCGGTTGGTGGGGGATCCTTCAAAGGCAGCAATGACAGTGGAAGCGGCAGTGAGTAGGTAGGCGGAGGCGGCGGTAGCTTGACTCATCATGAAGGAAACTTGATCGGCCAAGAAAGAGGATGCTGTTGAGACTTGATCGGCAATGAAAGCTGAAACATTTGGTGTAGTGACTCCAATGGAACGGGCCAAGAAGAATGCAACAACCAACTGGGGAAGGTAGCTCAAGAGGTGTTGGAGGATGGTCCAGACCACACGTAGGGACAGAAGACTGGGCTGATCATTGCGGAAGGGAGTGTACCAGGCTCCAGCGAAGCGTAGATGATTTGCTTGGGGTCCCGAACCTTTCAAGTCGCGCTTGGTGGCATCATTGGTATGTCCGTCAGTACCATGGGTGGTCGACCAACGTCCACAGTGAGCACACCAGTTGAAATCCTTTCCGCGGACTTTCTTGGTCTCAGGTGCACCAGGAGCAGGTGGAGTAGTCTTCCAGCTGGAACCGTGCTTATCCTTTTGATGCTTACTCTTCTTGTTGTTGTTGAAAGGTCGCTTGGGCTTCTTGTCACTTTTGCAGTCGCGAGCCCAGTGTCCTTTCTCTCCACAGTTCAAGCAGATGTCGTCAGGTTTGGCCTTGCCCTTTGAACCGGTCTGTTGGTGGATCAGAGCGTAAGCGTGGTTCTGGACGTCATCGGGGGTGAATGTCTTGGCCATCTTGGCATACGGAGTCTTGGAGTCTCGGATGGTGGGTCTCGCCGCAGGCCATTGCTGTTTGTCAAAAAGTGTACGGTAAGCGTCCTCGGCCTTGTCACAGATGTGCTCGTGTGTAAGTTCTTCTGCTTCCAAATGTTGAGCTGCTGCTTCCTTGTCCATGTAGCCAATCTCAATCAGTGCTTTGTTCATCTTGGCGCTGACGTTGAGCATTTCATGACGGTAAGAGTTGTGCTCAGCTCTGGAGGCTTCAAGGAAGTTGTCAACCA